TTAACTAAAATATTCAAGTTAAATTCTAATATTATAAAAATGCAAGATTATAATGAGATTGATACCAAAGCTTTTACTTATGCCAAAAGACGTGAAGGGAAATGCTTGGCTAAAGCTAGATCCAACACAGATATTTATTTGTGGTTATGCAAAAATCAATATCAATGGGAAGCATCCTATAAAGATATGAAGCAGAATTATGGATGGTGTAATAGTTGTTCCCATATATTTGAGCGAAGATGTCGATATATATTTGAAGAATTATTATATAAGAAATTTCCACTTTGAAAACCCAAATTTTTAAAAGGTTTACAGCTTGATGGGTATAATTGAGGAATTACATTTGGCCTTTAAATACAGTAGCAATCAATATTTTCAAATCGTTCCTTTTTTCCATCTACAAGAACAAATTAATTTAGATATACAAATTTAACGTGATTGGAAGAAAAGAGCACTCTGTTTTAAGGAAGGTATAATTCTTATCACAATTCCTTATTGTGTTGTTGATCTGCCAACTTTCATCAAGAGTGTCTTGAATGTATTCAGTTTTCTTCCAATACCCACCTAGGAGGTAAATGCACATCCTTTACAATTTGAAGTTCTTCTCTCACGAATAGGCATCTTGAACCATTATGTAGCTTATAGAGAACTGGCTGGTTATTTTTTTTTGAAAATGATTTGATCAAAAAAATTTCAGGAGACCAGTTATAATCAGTAGCCCTCCTTCTCCAGCCTTCTAGTTCACCAGGTTCTAATAGATGCCAAACTTTAACATCAGATTATAGAAGGGGTTCATCATAACCTATGGGCCTTTTGTGCTTGACAGCTGGATCTGCAAAGATTTTCTCACCTTCTAATGATTTTTTTACAGCTTCATTGGGCAATATATGTATTAACTTCATAGGGAATCATTATATTTATCATCATTAATATGAAGGCTAACAACCTACTCTCTAGATCTATCAGTCAATAGTAAATGTAAGTCCATAGCATCTTGGCAAAAAAAGATATGCTTTTCAAATTCTTAGTGATCTCGCTCGGCGATAGCCACATTTTGTTTAGATTTAGCATACTGAATTCTCATGCTATGTCTGAAAAATAAATTCCTACACTCACCTATATATTTGGTTCCTTTATCTATGATTAAAACTTTTGGCCAGCTAAGTAGGCAATTTGGATCATCATAAATTTTCTGAATCTCTCTAGCCATTTGCGTAGCTGTTTTATCAGTC